AAGCAATTTTGGAATTCTTATTCTGGAATGGCCATCAGAGCTGTCGTCATATTACCCTTAATGTCCTGAATGTCATCAAAATGTCTTCCTTTCAATATTTCCTTTGTCTTTGGGTAAAGAAAGAAGACACTGGGGGCCAGATCAGGTAAGTAGGGAGCGTGTTCCAATACAGTTATTTGTGTATTGGCTAAAAACTCCCTCACAGACAGTGCCATGTGAGCTGGTGCATTGTCACGATGCAAGAGCCATGTTGGCAAAAAGATCAGGTTGTCTAATGTTTTTATGCAGCCTTTTCAGCACTTCCAAATAGTAAGTTTGGTTAGCTGTTTGTCCAGTCGGTACAAATTCATAATGAATAATCTCTCTAATATAAAACAAAAAGGCTAGCAACATTTTGCAACAAGTTTTCAAACTTAATTCTCAGACCTGGTATAGTAAATCACTTGACAGCAACACCCATTTATTTCATTCAGTATTTAATATGTATTTATTATGCCCCTGCTACAGGCCTACTACTGTCTGGGTACTGGAGAAAACACAAGAAAACTCTATCCTTGCCTCATAGAACTTGTCCAGAAAAATAGGGACCACGTTTCAGAACACAACAAATGGAGCCTCAGTTAGGTCAACTCAAAATAAGTTAAAGAAATCAACATGAAAATCTTCAATTACATTAAGAACAGTTTGATGAACCCCAAGTATAGAAGTTTCACAGATTGGAAGAAAGTTCCAGTAAAAACCCAATCAGTGAGTCTAATCTAGACCTGCAACTAGGAAACCAAACACTAGCCATATGTTATCCCTATCTTTTAAATATTTTCATGAAAAAACAAAACAAAAAGCAAAACTTGACTTCCAAGCCTATGTAGAAGCAGCCTGCATGGTGGGCATTATACATTCAGAGACCAAGAGTAACCACATAGGATGGTCTGAACATAAAAATTCCTAACTAAAAGCTAGGATGGCAGGTAGTTACATCCTAGGCCTGTAGCTTCCTTGACAATCTTTACCTGAAGTAAACCTGTCTATTGTCTTTTTGCCATCTAATATAACATACCTTAGAATGTCAGAGTAATCCATTTTTCCGGACCCCTCAGGGCTCAACCTGCCACACCAGAGAATGAGACCATAGAACCCCTCACTGTTATCTTGTTCCCCGAATACCATGTCTATGTGCTGTAAATGTTAATTATTAACTATCCTGTACCCACCAATGTAAAAGAAGTATGTATTTCTGTTTTACTTTTTATCTAATCCCAGAGATTTCCCCTTTGCTTTCTCCTGCCCCTTTAATCTACCACCGATGGATTTCATTTAACCCGTATTATGTCTCCTCCTTTGATTCTAATATATAAAATAAACTGCAAAACTGTCATTCTCCAGAGCTTTTCTCAATCTGTTGAGATTTTGCTTCTCTGCAATTGTCGTCAGTTTGGCTCAAATAAACTGATAAAAATTGTCTACAGGTTTGGGTGTTTCTCATGTCGATACCTAGAAATAGATGAGAAAGGTTTTTTTTCAGCTTTATTGATATATAATTGACATATAACATTGTGTACACATGACTGTAGAGAATAATAGATTCTTTTCAAAAATATGTGACAACATTGTGCCATAAAACATTTGTTATATCACTCTTTTACAACTGTAATAATGACTAGAAATGATAATTCCCCCTCATTGAGTTTCCTATTCGCTGTCTCCCTAATTATACCTCCTTCAAGTAAGTGTCATCATGGAATGTCTGGATTTAATAATCCAAGATTCTAAGGTGTTTATTTTATACATTACCTCCACACTTAATGTTTTATATGCTCTGTCAAGAATCCAAACATTGTGTTGGTCTGAGAGGAATAGAAAATTACATGATTTGTTGAACCCAGAAAGCCTTTAATAGAATACATCTCATATAGAATTGTTTAAATATATATAAAGTTTTGTAATTCCAGAAGATGCATCTGAGGTTTATATGAAGAGCTTCCATTTCTTCACCATCCTTTCATTCTTTAACCCTGTGCGATATAGAGTCTATCCCCACCATTCTATGAAAAAAGTAGATGTTGATATATATCAGTTGGGTTACTACAATTTTTTTCTTTACCTGATTTCAAATGTAACTTGGGTCAATACAGAAAACTGAAAACACAAAAAATGAAATATGCATAATCTTACCAACTATTAGTTAATTTTGGTAATTGCCTACTAATCTTTTTTTATGTATATCAATATATTACTTTTGTTTTATAAAAGTAATACCGCAAGCACATACTAATTTGGAGTCTACTTTCCCCACTTAAGAATATAGCATAGTTTTCCACATTTCTATTTTTTTATATTTCTTGCCACACTGAATTTCATCCCGTAATGTCCCCTAGCAAAAATTCCTTATACTTTTGCTAGACACTAAAGAGCTTATATTTTTCCAAAATTATACATCTTTGTTCACAGGTCTGATGATCTATCTCTGTGGGATGACTTCTAAATGGGACTTTGGCTTTAAAAGTCATGTCCATTTAAAAACTTCAAAACACGAAACTTATGTTTAAAATTAAAGTTTGTGGGTGCTGGTTCCCCCTCCCCCCAATGTTTACTCAAGTTGGTTGCTGTTTTTATTCTTTGCAATAGCAAAAAAAAAAAACACCAATCTTTTTATTCCGTCCTTTTAATGGGGTTCAGGTTGGTTTGTTTTTTTCTTTTATTAGTCATACAGGTTTACTCACAACTCTACCAATAAATCTTGCTCATTCCTAACGTTCCAGCACCGAGCGACATTTCACCAGAAAAGTTCTTCCCATTATTAATGCCTACGCATCCTAACAAGAAGCATTCATCGCTTCTAAGGATTTGGCACTTAATACCTTTGTCCTTACCTTTTTCAAGTATGTATATTTCCTGTTCAATATAACATTTTGCTCAAGGACGAGGGCCCGTATGTTTATGGCTAGGTGTTTCATAATTTTCCTGCCAAGGGGTCCTCTCAAAGCAGTAGGGGCAGAGTCATTTACATAAGCGGTTGGGAGTGCAGTGGCCAAAGCATCTTTGTGATTTTGAAACCTAGCGGGCCTTGAGACGATTCAGTAGCAGACTTTTAACCACAGGGATTTCAAGTATTGTCCTTAAGTATGCCTGATCAACGCCAAGCGTTGAGCAAGGGCCCTGGCGATCCTGTCAGACTGGAATGGAAGCCTCAGGACAAAAGTGAAGGTCTGAAGGGTGTTGGCCCCAGGGCGACCCGCTGTCTATGATCTGGGTTTCTATTTTAAGGTCAATGCGCTTTATCCAAGCGCTACGGAAAAAGGGCAATGACGACTCCACCAGCTAGTTTCCGCCCCACCCTTCCTAAGTGGGGCTGTACGGTAACCGTTTACAACAGGCGCCGTGAACCACCATTTCCGGCAAACCGCCGCGGTGCTTCCGGGTAGGTAAACAGCCAGAGAACCAATAGCCAGCCCTACGAAGGGCGCAAGCAGAGCCGGAGCTGTAGGGAAAACCCGAGAGGGGGAGGTTCCAGCCAAGGCCACGCCCCACCCTTCCGGGCCTAAGGCACCGCCCCGGAGCCGGGGGTCCAGCCTTGCAGCCCGCCGATTGGTCCAGCCCGGCCTTGTTAGCCGCCTCACTTCCGCTTGGGCGTGGCGCTCTCCAGGCTCACTTGCGGTTCTGCGCTTGGTATTTAAATAAGAGTGAGTGTGGGGTTTGCTGGTTTGGTACTGACTTTTAAAAAGGGCATCTGCTTGCTGCTCCTCAAGTTTTCCCGGAAAATGACGGCTTCTTGCGGGACGCGAACGACACCTCCCCGCTGCCATGAGAGTCCCTTTTCTTCTTGGAGCTTTGCTGGGATCCTTTTGGTGGCCCTTGTGCTCCAGCTACCCGCATCCTCCGGTAGGGGCTTGGAGAGCGTTTGCGCTCTGGCGGCGACCTGGAGCGGGTCCTGGAGCAGGCCGGCGGGAGCCGAGGGAGGGAGGGGATGCGGGGAGCTTTGCTTGGTGGGAAGGGTAGGAGGCGCCAGGCTGTGTCGACCCAAGTGTTGCGGAGTTGGGGGGAAGGCGTGGCCAGAGACCTCGTGCTGTGCGCGGATCCCGGGCGGTGGGGACCAGGTAGTGGCCGCAGTGAAGGTTGTTTGTTGGTCGGCGCTTACCCTCGCCGGGCGCCGGGCGCGGTCGGTGTTTGCGCGGGGTCCAGCCTGCTGCAGGTGTTTCAGGGCTGAGCTCATCGGGCTGGGGAGCGCACACCTGGTGCTCCAGGTGAGGGCTTGCTCTTGAGTGCCCATGTGCGTGGGGATGTTGCTTAGGGCCCGTGCTGTGCCCGTGGGGAGGGTTTGCGCTGTGGACTCCGGTTGGGGTGATGTCTTGGTTAGTGAGGTGTTTGTGCCGCCCTCGGTTGGGCTGGAGAACCTTGGGCAGGGTGTTACCGGACGTGTGTTTTAGGGAAGTGGCCAGGCTCGCGGTGCTGAGCGAGCGACAAAGAAACTGCTTGCTTGTGTGGGAGTGGGGGGGTTGGGGAGCGCAAATTGTGCTTCTAGCCCTTGGGAGAGCAGGTTCTGGATGTCTGGATTTAGAGGGTTTTGGAAGGGTGTCCGGTGCTTTTGTACCGAAAGTTAACAGGTTCCTTGTTGCCCACATTCATATTAGGATTGATTTGCAGACTGTTGTGCGTTTTTTTGTTTTTTTGTGGGGTTTTTTTTGCCATGGAATCTTCTTGTTCCCATCCAGTATATGCCGTATCCCGTTCAATTACTTAATGGCCTTTTGGCATTGTTTTCCTTCTTTTTTCATTAGGTTGAGTCATATTTGAGGGGATATGCGAAGTAACATAAAACACATTGGTAGCCAAACCAACTGAGAAATGAGTGTCCTAAAAAAATGGACAATAAATACTGTTAAGATGTTTTTTCCCCTATTGCTCATAAACTAAAGCTGAAGGCCTATTCACTAAGTTTATTTCGTGTTTCATTAAATGGAATAAGTACTTTATATGCTAAAAAAAAGACACTTATTGTATAAAATTTACACGAAGGACGACCACTTTTAATACTTTGGTGTATTTCCAACTGTCTTTATATGCATGTGTGTTTCTATATCCAAGTCATTTTTAGGTTCTTACTACATATACAGTTTTATACTGCATTCTGTCCTTGGTAGAATTCTTTCAGTAAATAATTGCTTTGTATGTGCCAGGTCCTGTGCAGGTCCTGAAGAACACTGGTGAGCAATAACAAACCATTCCTATTTTCATGATCCTTATGTTTGCAAACACACACGAATATAAGCAGGGACTGTGTTTTGCTCACTGTTAGATCCCGTGCCAGGCACACAGTAGGCAATCAATAAATATTTGCTAACATTTATTGAGAGTGGCAGACACTAGCCAAACCATAGTACTAATGTGTTATAACCCAAGAGAAGTGATCTGGAGCAGGAATGTGATTCTCTGACAGCATTTAACAAACGACTGGTACAAGGGAGGACCTCTGCTCACCAGACAGGCCGAACTCTGCCACTTCGGGGCTTCTGCACAAGCTCTTCCCGCAGTCAGGGAACATTCTCCTCCTGCCTCTTGCATAATTGGCTCCTTCTCATCCTTCAAATTCAGTTGTGATGTTATCACCTCAGAGGGACCTTCTCTTACCACCCTATCTCAGGTAGACATCACACACATTTCAGTTCAAATCATCCCTTACTTCTCTTCACCCTCCCAAAACTATTGTTTTCTGTTCTCTCTCCGCTGGAATGCAGAGATCTTGTGTGCCTTGTCACACTTGTGTTTCCAAATGTTCAACTTTTTGCCTCCGTATCAACACTCTTATATAAGTATTAAGAACCAGGAAATTAAATATCATATTCAGCTGGCTCTTAGAGCTCAGGAAAAAATGTCCTCTTGCCTCCAGAAGGAAGGTTATCTGTTTTCCTTAAACAAATAGATAACCAGATAGTTCTCTAGCAAAATGGGTTTATTCGGGAACAACAAAGAATTTCATGTGGGACATATGATCCAAAGATAAACCAAAAGCAAGTCCAGAGAAAGAAAGGGGGCGGGAAGGGGGACTGCTCTTTTATGGATTTGGGAGGATCTGTTGTAAAGTGGAGCCCCTTGGAGGGAACTGGATGTTCGAAGTCGAGTGACTTTTTATTGGGTGAGTTATGGCAGTCTCCCATTGGCTGAGCTGTTAGTAGGAAAGGAAGAATCTTCCTCCTGTTGAGATAGAAAATGGTATCAGTTCCTGTCAGATATATGGTACGTCTCTACCTGTTGGGATTATTAGTGTGTGTTGAGTGACGTGTGTGAGAGTTCTCTCTTCTAGCCTCCTGACTCCATTTTAAATGTGGTGTCTTTATTAATTTTCACATATTCCCCTTTTGATGAAGATTTTTCTCTGAAATCACTGATCAAGTATCAGGTTTTTCTGGACTCAGTGGTCTTTCGTCCCTTGTTTCCAGGAAGGACCTTTTCCTGAGTGTCATGTCTCATGTTGTAGGAAAGACTACATATTGGGAACGTATTGTGATGACGTTTGAGTACCAAGAGGGGCAGCGGGGGCAGCCTCTCAGGAACTTCCCATCTCAAGTCTGTATCTTAGAATAGTGAGCCTGGCAAAAGCACACTCAGGACTGAAATAACTAAACAAGGCTTTGGGAAGACACAATGCAGGAATAAAACATGAAGCAGTTAAACAGTATTGTTATGTCAAAAGAAACTTTAGAACAGAATATCTCATCAGTAATACAGCCTGTAGGTTGCAAATTCAGACTCTGAATTGGCTAAGGATCCAGAATCAGTTAATAGTCAAATAGAGAGACTTTTGTGAATTTTAAACCTTCAAATTGGCCTGCTCTGAGCATCTTGGGAAAGCAGTTTCATCAGGTGTCTTCTGCTTCAATTCTGGGAAATCTTCACTTTCAGGTCACCAGGTGGTGTGCAGGTCCAGTCAGGGTTAGGTGCTTTCTTTAGATGTGTCACGTGACTCCAGGAGCCTGTTGCCTGGAGTTTGGTGGCACAAAGGTTGGTTAGCAGGACCTGATAGGGGCCTTACTAGTGAGGGTGAGGAGAGCCTTTCTGAAGGTGTCTTTTCCAATAGATGAAGTGTCCAGGTTTCAGAGTGTTTTTTCCTGAAGGTCTTCATCTCCCTGGAGTACACTGTGAAAAGATTGCTCTACCAGAACATGGTGAATTTTCATAGAACTTAGGCCTTTACGATATTGAAGTTTATCTCCTTTTATCAGCTGTGGATCAAAATAGGCAAGGGCCAGGCGCATCAGGTACCCTGTGACTATCACAAGGGGTGAGAGTTTATGAGTTCCAAAGGAGGCAGATCTGAGATTTAGAGGGGCCAGTGCTTTTGGCCAAGGTATTTAGACAGCCTGTGCACATTTTGTCAGCTGTCTTAATGCCATTAGTGCGTTCAACTAAACCTGATTGAGGGTAGTCAGCTCACAAGTGTTGTAAAATGGGCCACCTAGCACACATCTGTCAAAGCAGCTGACTGATAAAATTGGGTCCCCAATCCCTGTGGGTTCTGGAGGGGTTTTCTAGGTAGGGATACTCTTTTCCAAAAGGACTTTGGCCATAGAAGGGGCAGTAGCCTGTCTACAAGGAAAAGCTTCAGTCCAATGAGAAAACATACTGTCACTAAAACATATTTATATCCCTGAGATGGGGAAGTGGTATGGAATCCATTTGCTACAGCACAAATGGTCTATTAGGCAATTTAAAATGTCCAGGATGAGTGGGAACAGGCTTTCCTGGGTTGTAATTTGGACAAGTGAGATTGATGCTTTTTGTGGCCTTATTAATATTTCCCCACCAATACTAACTTATAAATGCTATCATTTTGTCAGTGAACCAAAGGTTTAATGCATGTACAGTAGTCAGGAGTGGGAATGTTAGTGTCTCTGGTAGGACTGGGTTGTTATTTGGCCTGAACCAAAGCTTTCTGTTTTTATCAAATCAATAATTGTTGGGTTTCCAAATTTGTTTTACCTTTTCTGAGGCCAGTTGTTGGGCTTCAATCGCCAGTTTTTCTAAGTTCTCATTTGAGGAAATATCCCTTTGGGCCATGCCAGAGTTTGACTGCTGTTGGTTACTTTAAGGACAGCATTCCTTGCGAAAGTGTCAGCAAGGTGATTTTCCTTAAGTTTCCAGAGTCAAGTTTAGAATGCCGTTGGATCTTAATAATAGTGAAAGCAGCAGGCAAAATTGTAGCATTCAGTAATTCCTGAACATACAGGCCATTTTACATTTTATCTCAGCTGACAGTAAGGAAGCCATGTTGTTTCCGTCACTATCCAAAATCATGAGCTACTCTGAAAGCATATCTATTATCAGTATGAATGTCAGCAGTTTTGCCCTTGGCTAGGGTGCAGGCCTCTATGGGCTTGTTGGGCTGCAGTAGCCAAAGGCAAAGGTGATAGGTCAGTTCTATCAAAGGGTGTTGATATTGCAGACTTGCACCATATTTGTTATTTCAATAAGAGCTATTACTGAACCATGTGAAGTCAGCCTTACTCAAAGGAGCTTCCCCCAGATCTAATTTATTAAGGCTTCATCCTTTTCTGGTTAAGGCCTTGTTTTGTCTGAGAGGACTCGGTTGGCACTTTGGCCTGACTCTTGAAATCAGGCTGTTGCACTGGAACTGTGATGGCCTTCAGATAGATTCCTTTTGGAACTGGGCTGTTTCTACCGAAACTGTCCTGGCCTTCAGTCCACTTTTGATAATGTTCAAATACCATTTCTATTAATAGTAGTAGTGGAGATTAGGTTCATAATAAACTAAGCGTAACTATTTTGACGTGAAATAAATGTAAAACTCGGGTAAAGGGAAATATCTATAAACTAATGACAAAAATTTGAATATAGGCATGAAGAAAAAAATGTGATTTGCAGATATCTCTGGAACTAGTTGGCTGAATAGTAAAAAATTTGAATTTTGATCAAAGAGTGTATAGAACTGATAAGAGTGCTCATTCAGCTCTGACACTAGGTACTAGAAATGCAGGGGTGAGTGAGATGTGATCCTCAAGAAGGTGACAGTCTTGTAGGGAATATAAGTAATAAAGAATTACAATACGAAAAGTTTTATGAAATAAGTCAGTTGGGGTATCATGATGGCATTAACTCAGTATTTTCAGTGAGAGTTGTCAAGAGACTCAAGGAAGCATTGTCAGCTAAGATGAAACTGAAGGATGAGTGGGTGGGCAGAGTGGCAGGGTCTCTGGTGTAAACGGAAGTCACGTGATGTATGGAGGCCTAGAAGTGCTAAAGTAATTCATGAAGTATAATAATAGACACTGCAAGGAATTCAATATGGCTTGACAATAGCGTGCAAGAGTGAGCAGGCTTATGATAGTCACGGATTTTAAAAGTCTGTTAGCTATGTTAAGGAGACTCAGACATTATCTTGAGGGCTTTGGGGGACCATGGGAAAGTATCTGATTAGTAAGAGCCTTGGTCACTGTGTCATATCAACATGACTCTGGGAGTAATATGAAACATGAATAAGCGGTGGCAAGGCAGGTGAGGAGACCTACTCAGAAACTCTTACGGCACTCCAGATAAGAAATGATACTGACTCTAATTAGAAGTGAAGGCTAGAACTGGAAGGATGGAACAGGCATTTCAGTTGTGGGAACAGTTTAACTAGTTTGCTGTGTGTGTATGTGAGTGTGAAGAATCAAAAGAGTTCACACTCTGGCTTCATTATGTTATTGGAGATAGTGTGACACTCCCCAAGTGGAGCTGTGTGGGGCGGCAGTTGGATAGATAGACTTGGCACCCAGCTGGAGATCTGTCATGGAGAGGAATTTGGGATTCAGCTCTTCTCAGAGGTAGGGAAGTCATGGGAGTGTATCTGCCCACCCAGGAGGTCTTCAGAATGGAATAAAAAGAGTTCCTAGAACAACCTATTAGGAGCATCATGTTATGCACTGAGGCAGAGACGGAAAAGCAGCCAGAGGACAAGCTGAAAACCAGGGTGGCAGTGCCATCCTGGAAACCAGAGAGACAGCTTTTCAGGCAGAAAGGAGCAAAGACAGAGTGATCAGCTCCAGATGTTATAGACAGGTGACTAAAATTACAGAGGAAAAAGGTGTTAGGGTTCATTGACCAAAAAGAATGCTTAATGACTTTGAAAGTAAATGAGTTTTGTAGGCCTGGAAATGAGAAATAAAATTGATAGGTGTAGATACCAGAGCCTGCATCTTGGGAAGCAAAGAAAGCTTAAAAATAGGTTGTGTAGACGAACAGGATGGCCAGGGTTCATTGGGCTTCTAGTTTTCGTCAAAGACTCTGATTTTCTGAAGGCACCCATCTGGACAAGGGTGTGTGGACTCGTGTCAGGACGCAAGTTGAACCTTTGCAGGCAGGTATAGAGTGCTTACACGAGTTTGCGAAATGTGAAGAAGGTGAGCAGTTCTCTTGATCCTCAGCGGAAAACTATTTCATGGTCCTGAAACTCACCTGGAGCACTGGGGAATTTTCTGAATGTCACCTATGATATATAATGTCATCTATTGTTAAAGTATAGCACTGCAGCCTAATTAAATGATATTTAACTATCTAGAAAACAAAAACAAAATAAAAAAAAACTAAGTCAAGGTGCTGTTTTTCTGGATCTGGGAATGTGTAGTTTGAACATCCCTGTAGGAAAAAAAATGCAATGTCTGAGCAAGGAGAGAAATTTGTTTATTAAGAAAGTGTAATACTGGGGGGCCGGCCGAGTGGCTCAGTTGGTTAAGAGCTTGCACAAGAGTGCAAGCTCTGAGCAACAGGGTTGCCGGTTTGATTCCCACATGGGCCAGTGAGCTGTGCCCAAGCCGAGTTGCTGCTGAGCTGCCAACAAGTGGCAGGATGGCTCAGCTGGTAAGAGCACGTGCTCCTAACAACAAGGTTGCCTGTTCGAGATGGTGGGATACGCTCCCTCGCAACTAAATACTGAACTCAGCACCTTGAGCTGATCTGCTGCCCGGTGGCTCAGGGGATAGAGCGTGTGCTCTTAACAACAAGGCTGTCGGATCGACTCCCACATGGGATGGTGTCTACACCCACCCGCAACTAAGACTGAACTCAGCACCTTGAGCTGAGCAGCTGTGAGCTGCCCACAGCCAGCCAGATGGTGACTGGACTTGGAGCTGAGCTAGCTGCACCCTCCACAACTAAGATTGAAGGACAACTTGGCTGTTCCCCTTCCCCAATTCCCCAACACTGTTCCCTTCCCACAATTTTTCAACACTGTCCCCCTCCCCCAATTCCCCAATAAAAATCTTAAAAAAAAAAAAAGTGTAATACAGGACTCAATTATTATAGTGTATAAAGCTTGTAATCAATTGGTTGCCAAACCAAATTTTAAACTCCACATATTACTGAAAGCATGTCTTTCATGATGCATGTTAGCAGAAAGAAATACTTCAACATTTTTTAATGGATTAAACCATCCAATTGACATTTCTTTTTCCATACAGAGCACTACATGTGAAAGTCACATTAGGAATCCTCTCCTTTATATGCTTTCAAGATAGTTACTGAGATTGCATGAAACAAAAGATACTTGTATAATTTAATCACGAGCTTGCTGTTGTTTGAGTACTTTCTTGGTGGTTCCAGGAAATTCTAGAATGAAGTTGTGCATTTGTATCTATAAGGAAATATATAACATTTCTAGCCCATGTTTGTTTTCCTACTGAAAAGAGAATGTCTGGCTCAGGGTATTTAGTAAATGTCACTCCTGTACTAAACCTGTGTTTAAACAATGCTTTTAAGTACTAGTGCTTTTGGTTAGTTAGCTTTTTGCTTTTGTTTTGTGTTGGGCAGTTGATTGAGGAACATTCAGATATCAAGGTCAGCACAGTGGAAACGTTGAAAATATTTTGCTAGTAGGTGGATTTCAGGACATGGTGGAAATTAAACGTTGGACTATGTATAGAGACAATTTTAGAATTTAGAATAGGCTATGAAAGAAGGCTAAAATTTCATATGCCTAGAGTTCTCTTAATCAGTCTCTCAGTCTGAAGTAAGACCAATCCAGGCAGTAAAAACACAGGTTCCTCAGGATCAAAATAGATCTATGTTCTTTCTTCTTAGGTCCTTAACCTCACAGGAGAAGCCTCTTCATTCTTTGAGCCCTTTAGGGGTTTGCTTGATGTGTCTTCACCCCATTTTTTACATAATATTTCTAACAGATGTGTTAGGTTTTCAATCACACAGGTAATTTAAAGGAAGAGGAATTGCTGAAGTAGAAATGACACTATTCTAGGAAGAAAAGGACTACCAAACAAAACCAAAACAAAACAAAAATCAAAAAGCAAAACAAACAAAAAAAGCCCAGAGGTAAAAAGTTGTAAAAGTATAGCAATACATATAGTAGTTTAACTGTAGGGCTATTTGGATATACAGCCGAAACAGCTACCTCAGGGAACTGATCAGTAAAGGAAGATTCAGTTACAGTAGGTTCTTTTACATGTTTGTTTGTTTGTTTTTTTCTATAAATATACTGCTGGCGGGTATCCCGGGTTTCACATCTCTGGACAAAACCAACAATATTTTCTATCTGCAGTTGGGAATCCGATGATGCAGAGAGCCAACTCTACGCACTGTTCTCCACCACTTTATAAAAGGGATTTGAGCGTCCGCGGACTTTTGAATCCTCCGGGAGTCCTAGAACCGATCCCCCCACAGATACAGAGTTAAAGACTGTACTTTAGTTTTGGGGGATTCAAAAATTACATGCAGATTTTTAACTGCATGGAGGCCTGCGTACCCAACCCCCACATTGTTCAAGAATCAACTGTATATTTAAATAATAATAAAACAATGAAATAATATCAAGAAAGCAGATTTTTTTTTCATGTAAGGCTCTTCAAAGTAGTAAATGGTGTCTGTTGACTTATAAAATGATCATTTCACTAATATGAAATGAAGTCTTATATTTTGAAATGCTTTAGTCCATATTTACTTTGATCTATGAAACCCACAGTGCTTATTTGATAGCCACCTCTTACCATACATAGCATTTCTTAAGCACCGGCTGGGTACAGTGTAGTAGAAAAGGAAAGCATATAATCCCTGACCTTTAGGAACTTGCTTCCTGAGAGGAGACTGAGCCTGAAGTGACAGGTCATCATCAGCTTGTGTTACAAACTATGGAAGAGTAATCTGAGCAGACTGCTATGTCCTATACAAGTCTTGTTAGGGCGGAGGTGAGTGTGAAAGGAATTTAGAAAAACCGGGGAAGATCGCATTCATATAAATATATTTTAAAACCATAAACATTGCTACAGTGTCTTCATTATACTGTTGCGGGAATAGTGACCTTATTCCCCAACCAACCAAAGCTACTAGGATGTTATTTAAAGCAAGCACCGCACGTCCTCCCCTACTACCATCATTTAGGTGAAAGCATGGAGTGATCATTGATAACCTTGCCAAGGACCTTTCCGTTTATTCTGTACCACCTGCCTGCTGCCAGGCCACAGTCCCTGGCTGGCGAAAATGATAAAATACTTTATGTTCGTGTTCTTATTCTCTTATGCACAGATGCCTGTGATGATCCACCAAGATTCCAAACTATGAAGCTCACGAATGCTTCTCAAGACCCTTATAGCCCTGGGGACAAAGTAGAATATGAGTGTCGCCCAGGATACAAGCGTCTCATGCCGGCGCTTGCCACCACTGCTGTTTGTCAGCCTGATAACACATGGACACCTCTCCAGGAGGCTTGTACAAGTAAGTAAACAGAACTTAAAAAAAAATTTGCTCTAGAGATTTTTTTTCACATTTTAGGATGCATATTCCACTATGACAGTGATGGTTTTTTCATGTGGATATAGGTTTTAGGTAGTAATGTATTTTTTTGGACTTTCAAAATCTCCAGGGAATCTTTTTCTTGGCAGTGGTTGTCAGAGTAAATGTGAATCTTAAGTTTGGGCTTTTAATAGTTAAAGAAAATTATATTTTCATCAGTTCAATAGAACAATGTAGAATTTTTATTTCCATTTAAACCCATTTTGAAATTGGTATAAATTAATGAATTTCAAATTTTCTTTCAGGAAAATCATGTCCACAACTAGGAGACCCCATAAATGGCCAAGTAAATGGAACTTTCCTGTTTGGTTCAAAGGCTCACTATGCTTGTAATGAGGGGTAAGTAGAGGAAATAAGGTAAATATTACTAGTTCGAGTTTTTGTGTTTCTTCTACGCATTCTCATAATGTTGATTTCACTTTGCTTTCAGTGTGACAAGTTGTACTTACAGCCAGTCAACTCTTGGGCTTTTCATGGAGACTGAAAAGATGTGTAATTAATGCAAAGAAATTTCAATTGAAGGAAAGCAAAATTGTATAATACTTACTGTATGTAATAATAAGCATTAAAAAGGTAATCATCATGGTGACTGTATCCATGACAACTAAGTGCACCCTATTTAAAATGGGCAACTCTCAGAGCTGAAGCGGGGCTTATAGAAATGTGAGGTAGAATAGCCCACCGAAGACTTTCTTATATCGAGATAACTCTATAAAGTATGACCAGATGAAAATTGACCTGTTTAGCCTGGACCTTAATGTTGATCAAGATCTCTAAGTTGGAAAGCCTTATTTCTGAGACTGTCACAAATTAGTGAAGCCTCACTTAATAGTGACCTTTGTTCTACAGGGCCCTTTTAATACTACATATTCGGGATATTGGGCATTTATGACAAATGTGCATTTAGTGGGTAAATGTACTAATAGTACACTGTAGAAATGCAACTAATTTTTTTGTGACTTTGTCCTGCAAATTTGCTGAATTCGTTTATCAGTTCTAAAAGCCTGCGTGTGTGTGTGTGTGTGTGTGTGTGTGAGATTTTCAGGATGTTATACACGTAAGAACCAATTATCTGCAAACCGATAATTTTACTTCTTCCTAACTAATTTCATTGCCTTTATTTTATTGATTGATTGATAGCCTAATTGCTTTAGCTAGATCTTCAGTACTTTGTTGAATAGAATTGGTGAAAGTTCACATCCTTGCATTGTTCCTGATCTTAGAGGAAAACCTTTCACCTTTTTACCATTAAGTATGATGTTTGCTGTGGGTTTTTCATGTATAGTATTTATTATCTTCAGGTAGTTTCCTTGTATTCCTACTTTATGGAGTATGTTTAGAGTGAGAGAGTGTTAGATTTTGTGAAGTGCTTTTTCTGCATCAATGGAGATAATCCTGTGTATTTTCCCTTCAATCTATTGATGTTGCATTTACATTAATTAATTTTCATGTGTTGAGTCATCCTTGCATTCCAGGAATAAATCCCACTTGGTTGTGGTGAATAATACGTTCATTGCGCTGCTCAATTCTCTTTGCTTATTTTGTTGAGTTTTACGTTAAGGTTCAAAAGGGGACATGTGTCTGTAGTTTTCTTTTTTGTGTGTGTGTGGTGTCTTTGTCTGGCTTTGGTATCACAGTAGTGCTAATCTCATACAATGAGTTCAGAAGACTTCCCAATTCAATTTAATTAAAAAAAATGAGAAGAATTGGTTGTAGTTCTTTAAATATCACCAGACACCATAAGGTCCAAGGATTTTCTTTATTGGGAGATTTTTTATTCCAATTCGATCTTCTTACTAGCTCTATGTCTACTCAGACTTTCTAATCTGTGTGATTTCATCTTGGTAGGTTTCATGTTCTAGGAATTTTTCCATTTTATCTAGGTTAGTTAATTTGTTGGTATAAAGTTGTTCATAGTACTATCATATAATATTATGTATTTCTGTAGAATCAGTATTAATGTCCCCCATTTCATTTCTGAATTTAGTAATTTGGCTCTTCTCTTTTATTTATTAGTCCATCTAGGTAAAGGCTTGTGAATTTTGTTGATCTTTCTGAAGAACGAACTTTTGGTTTCAAAGTTTTTTTTTTCTATTGTTTTTCTCTTCTCTAAATTGTTTTTCTCTACTCTAATCTTTATTATTTACATCTTTGTGCCAGCTTTGGGTTTAGTTCTTTTTCTAGTTCTTTAAATTGTGAATTTAGTTGTTCATTTCAGGTGTTCTCTGTTGTAAACTTTCATAGCTATATATTCCCCCATTGGCACTGTTTTTGCTGCAGCTCCTAAGTAAAATGTTATGTTTTCATTTTCATTCATCTCAAAGTAATTTATAATTTCTCTCATGATTTCTTCTTTGATCCATTGGTTATTTAAAAGTGTGTTGTTCAATTTTCACAGTTAATTGAATTTTCCAGTCTTCCTTTTGATGTTGATTTCTAACTTCATCTCATGTGGTCAGAAAATATACTTTGCATGAAATCTATTTTTTTATCTATTGATTATTGAATATTAATTTGTGGTCTAGTATAATTATGTTATTATATATTATGTGATTAGTTTATTAGTAGCATTAATTTGTAATGTAAACTATGGTATTCCCTGGAAAATGTCTCATATGCACCTGAAAATATGTATTCTGTTGTTGGTTAGAGTGCTCTGTCTGTGTCTGTGAGATCTAGTTTGTTTATTGTGTTGTTGAAGTCCTCTGTTTCCTTATTTACCTTTTATGTAGCTGTTCTGTCCATTATTGCGAGTGGGGTATTGAAGTTTCCAGGTATATCTTAGGAAGCCTGTTATGTAGAAATGTGTATCTCTCCCTTCAATTCGTATATTTACATGGTCTGTAGTTTGGTGCATAAATATTTATAATTGTTATGTCTTCTTGCAATATTGAACCTTTATTAATATATAATGTCCTTCTCTGTTTTTGTAACCGTTTTTTATTTAAAGTCTATTTTGTATGAATTAATGCAGCCACCTCTGCTCTTATGGTTACTATTTGCATGGAATACATTTTTCCATTTTTTCACTTTCAATTTGTTTGTCTTTCAAGTGAGTCTCTTATAGACAGCATATAGTTGGGTCATTTGTTTTTACCCATTCTGCCAACTTCTGTCTTTGGATTGGAGAGTATAATCATTTTAAATTTAAAATAATTACTGACAAGAAGGACTGCTTTCTGTTATTATGCTATTAGTTTTCTACATGCCTCATGGCTTTCTGTC